GGATTGAATTAATGTTTAATCATTCAATTTTTGTTCATTCATAAAAAATGTATTGATTATTTTTAACTTGTGAATAAAAAATATATTATCTAAATTTAAAAATAGCAGGTGAGATAGATTATTGTTAATGTTGTTGGGTGGACTTATGGGATTTTTTTTAAAAGCTTAAAGACTTTTGGAGTTAAACAAATTGAAAGCTCAAGATTTTATATTTTCGAAAACCTCTTTAAATCGTCTTTATCGAAACTAAACCAGCTGGTGACAGTGCTGTGAGTAAAGTAATTTTAATTCACCTTTTTTTTTAACTCTACAGAGAAGAACGTGTCTGAGGTCCAGAACAACTCCATCAATCTGTGGGAGGAGGGCCGAGTGGAGGATGAGCTCTCTCCTGAGGAGATTCAGATGGTGTGCAACTTCAAAACTCAGGCTAAAACTTTYGCTAAAATATGGATTTGTATGATTTATGACAGTGCAGATATTCTGTTTTTACCAATGCACTTAAATCATAAGAATTAAACAAAAAAAAAGACAACAAATAGTCATTGAAAGTCAACTCATTTTACTTTTGGACTTTAAAAAAATTATAAAATGGCTTAAAAATTGTACTTTGCTGTTCAGATAATGTGTAAATTTCAAAGTTTATGTTTAAATATATTTTTTATTTACAGGACATTGAGCATTAACTATCAAGAGATTAAAGTGTTGTTCTTTGTGCAGTTTGAACAGGAAAACAAGAGATTGGTCAGTGAAATGAACAGCCTGGTGGATGAAGTGAGGTAAGATTTTCTTCACTTCAAATGTGTTCAGTAAATAAAGGATGGTGAGCGTGGAAAATAAAAAGACATACATGTTTGGAGCAGTATTTAAGTTTCATTTTTACACTCACCAGGCAAATTGAAGGGAAAGTGGTGGAGATTTCACGACTTCAGGAGATCTTTGCTGAGAAAGTCTTACAACAAGTGAGTTCCACTTTTGTCCTCCTGTCTTTTTAAAGGGATCCACGATTAGTTGTAATGTTAGACTTTATTTGATAAACGTTTATTTTAACTGTAAAATAAAGACTGAAAGTACTGTAGCTGTTTAGTTATTATAATTTTTAAACAATTTTTTTCTAAATATATTACACGAACTGAGCCATTTTATTTACATGCAAAGCATTCTGGGTAAATGATGACGTGGATAGGTCCTTGGTGTGAGCAAGCAATATCCACCCTGAAGGTTAATCTTGAACAATATCTGACGATTGACTCTTTTAAATGAAACCAGAGAGCGTTGACAGAGAGGAGAAGGTAGAAATGACTCAGCCTGTAACTGAAAATATGGATGGAGGACCTCAGTTTAGGTTGTTAGTTTGTCGTGCTAGCGCCGAGCTAATACATATGAGGCAAAATAGTATCAGCGCTAAAGCTAAAGCTAACAGGCTAAGCTGAGGTTCTTCTTCCATGAAGTAGAGCTGGGCGGTATGACACAAATTTTATATCACGGTATTTTCAACAATTACACCGGTTTCACGGTATTTGACGGTATTTTTTTCCTCACAGCTCAGCTGATAGTAAAATGTACAAACTTTGCTTATTGACTTTTTTCTTTTACTGTACCTCTGTATCACTGTTTCCGTCCTCTTCTACGTATTTTCTTCTTTGACTGGTTGTAGACAGTAATCATGCATTTTAATCCGATCATGAAGGGTTGAGAAAAAATCATTATCTGGTCTTAATAAAACTTAAAAGGACGACTCACCTTGCACACCAGTCAACTCAGCTCTAATACAAAACTACCCCCACCCCAGGCTTTTCATAATAGAAGCACGTTAAAGTCTCCATGCATTAACGTCTCCATTATAACGTCGCGTGTTAAATCTAACCGTGCACATCACTGAAGAGTTGTTTACTACATTCAGCGGCAGTGAAAACGGGATGGTTTTTTTMTAATGTCAGTCAATATAAGTAGCTGAAACACCACCAGTTACGTTAGCATGCTAATGCGCTTAGCGGTGCTGCGGGAAACGTGTCCCCTGGGAAACAGTTCACTGGCGGCCGCGACAAAATGTTCCTCACGAGTTCAGGCTATTTAAACCGCTATGTCCGGTATTCAGATAATTCATATAACAAAAATAAAAACTGGTTTTTGGTACAAAATGGTATACCGCCCAGCACTACCATGAAGCAGCTCTGTTGTCCTCCATCCATATTTTCAGTTACAGGCTGAGTCATTTCTACCTTCTCCTCTCTGTCAACGCTCTCTGGTTTCATTTAAAAGAGCCAATCATCAGATATTGTCCAAGATTAACCTTCAGGGTGGATATAGCTCACTAGCAGCCTTGCACCGAGGACCTATCCACATCATCATTTACCCAGAATGCTTTGCGTGTAAATAAAATGGCTCTGTCCGAATTAAAATATATTTTTAAAAATTTACTAAACAGCCTACAGTATTTTTAGTCTTTTATTTTACAGTTAAAACATATTTTTATCAAATAAAGTCTAATGTTACAACTAATCATGAATCCCTTTAACGCAGGGTTGAGTCCAGTCCTGAACCAGGATTAGACACCCTTGCTAATCCTCCTTGTTTAATAAATAATAAACATTCAAAGCTTGTTTATTTATTTCACTTCCTGTTACAGGAAAGCGAGATTGACAATATTCATGAGCTGGTTGTGGGTGCAACAGAGAATGTCAAAGAAGGCAACGAGGACATACGAGAGGTATGATACTCTAGATAACATACCTGCATTTTGTTTTGGTTGTTCTAAAAAAAATCTGAAAATATTTCCTATCTTTTTCTTATAAGGCGATCAAAAACAATGCTGGCTTCAGAGTCTGGATCCTCTTCTTCCTGGTCATGTGCTCTTTCTCGCTCCTCTTTCTGGATTGGTATGACAGCTAACACAACCGTCACAAAGGCCTGAACAAAAGGAAACTATCTGAAACCAGGACATAATGTCTCAAAAGGACGCGATGACAACACTGTGAAAACCTTGTTCTGTGTGAAGCTTGTCGTCAAGTGGAAATGACATTTTCCTTGTCCTTGTAGTGATTTTTCTTAATTCAGTGCTTTCAGAGTAGCTTTCATTCGAGTGCACTTCTGTAGAGGCAAGTTTTATATGGAGCACTTTATCCAGTTTTGCAATTTATCCTGTGAATGGACAAAGGTTGTTTTTTTTTTTTCTATCACTAGAGGAGCGACTGCATCAGTTTGTGTGAAACTCAACAGAAAATCCTCCCATTAAAAACAGGCCTCACTGATTCTTGCATCTTACTGTACATTAGATCATTCTTTAAAATACCAGAACTGTATTTACAAACCTTTTTTTCTAGTAAATCTAATTGCTTAATTTTGAATTTGTCATATTTATGAAGTGATTGCATCTTACATTTGGACTGGGTTTGCAGTAACGTGAAACGCATTGAAAAGAGAATAAACTTTCAGTGTGTTGCTGCTAAACCTAAATTCTTGTGACAGCATTGTAATTACTTGGATTAAAAACTCAGAACCTTGACCTGTTGACTGTATTTAATCACTGAGACAGCTTTACCAAATAGGGATGTTTAATCCTGGTCATTGAAGATCACCATCCTGCATGTTTTAGCGGGTTCTCTGCTCCAACACACCTGATTTGAATGAATGGGTGATTAACAGGCTTTTGCAGAACTTGAGGTAATTAAATAATTGAATCAAGGGCAGGAAAACAAGTAAAACAGGCAGGACAGCTGCCCTCTTTAAACCTGTTAAAAGCCTTTGATCTAATTAGTTTAAAAACCATCTATTGGTTCATTAGATATTTTAATGACTGACAACACAAACACCTTTCTCAGTAGCGATCAATCATGAGAACAGTAATTTGGGCAACAGTTTGGAATGTGAGCTCTTTATTTCAGTTCATTCAACATTTTATTTAGCAAATGCACTTTAATGGTAATTATTACATTGTTTGAAAAATGTACATWTACTGGAACAGTTAAGTTAAATGACAAAAAAAAAAAAGAAAATGAACAGGACAAGCAACTACCGGGATTGTTCCACTACATCAGACTACATCAGCTGCGAACAGCCGTCTGTGATGACAGTCAATGCAAAGCATTGTACAATACAGTGTATTCACTAGCAAAAACATTCAGTACAGCAGCATTACAAGTTTTGTTATGAAAAGTAAGCATATTGTTCATAATGAAAATAAGTGCGTATGGGCCGACTCCATGTTCAAAAATATTGGTTTCTGCTGGTACGATTCCTCCAGGTCAAGCCTCAATGTCTCACAATATAAGATTGAAATATTTCGGCGCAGATGAACTCTGAGGCAAATGTTCTTGTAACTTTGCTGCTTCAAGTGAAAATGTACTATTCAAAAAGGTCTTAACATGCTTAAATCAGTGCTCAGAAGAAGAGAAACTCAAAGCAAACTGATTGCCGTTAGCATCGTGCGTGCATGTGCGACAAAACAATGCAGACACAATGGCTCAGTCGTTTTACAATCTGAGTGAGCTTGTTCGTGTGTGTATGTACAAAGACTGTGTGTGTGTGGCTTTTTCTACATGTATGCCACTTTATTTTGCTGTGTAAATAAATAACATATGCTGTTCAGACAACTCATGAATCCACCAAACTGAGCCTTGCTGTGCTGAGAACACGTTCAAAACTTCCACAGATTTCCAGCTACTGTACACCAGCTGACCAAACTACATCAACAAGGCAGCATAGCACCTCAGGCAAGATAAATTAACTTTGTAATTTTTTTTTTTTCATCCACAAAAAGCAACGGGACTCGATGTTTGCCTGATTGGCACAACCAGATTTTTATTTTTCCTTTTTCCCCCCTTCTGCAGTACTGGAGACCACCTCCTGATCCCAGGTAGGTTAGGCCAGTTTCTGGGCCGTCTCCGTCTCTTGCTGGGTTACCTTCTCCTCGGACATGATGGTCACCCATGGCGATACCGACCGAGTGATCGTCTGCTTGGCCATGTTGTAGTGGTTAATGAAGGTAAAGAGACGTCCACGGCCCCCAGGACCCTGAGGGGGGTAGTTTCCATACAACCCAGCTGGCAGGCAGCGACCCTGCTGCTCCAGATAAACAATAAAACATGAGTGAAATGAAAATTACACAAAGAGGAAAAACAGTAAAAACATGATTATGGAAACCTTTTTTTAAAGAAAACCTGAATCATGCAAAATAAAAAATTACCAAAGTAACATTTTAAATCCATTGGTGTCAACATAATGACAAAAAATGCTTTGAAGTGTTTACCATATACACAAAGCTGTCGGGACACGGCTGCTCGTACTGGTAGATCTTGTAGACGACCAGAAACACCACACAAACCAGGAAAGCCAGGGCACAGATCACCAGCAAGGTCACCTAAAGAGGACAGTGACATCATCAGAACAAGGCTCAACCTTTGGGTCCAACGCCACAAAACGAGGGGAAAAAAAAAAAAAAAAAAAAAACAGGCCAACTGTTGTGACTAGTTATTATGGTCTTCACCTGTGGTGGGCAGCTCTAATCTGAAAATTAGTTCCACCCTAAAATACCTAAAACACCAACTCAAATATTTAGGTCCCCTAATTCTAAAGCACTAACTCAAAAATTTAGGTCCCCTAATTCTAAAGCACTAACTCAAATATTTAGGTCCCCTAATTCTAAAGCACTAATGCACTTAAAGTTTTAGCAAAAACTAATTCTAAAGCACTAAAATAACCCAGTCAACCCATGAACGTTCTTCAACAGACAACATGAGTCACATGTTGCTCTTAAGACTTATCATTGACATGCCACAGCTGTATTTGAGTTCATTTATTGTCACCTGGTGGATAAGTGACACACATATGAACAAAATGTGACAGCTTTCACCCTCAACTGTTAACATTAATGTGGATCAATAACATTTATAGACCTCAGTTAGTGCTTCTAAGTTTAGCCTATAAATTTAGCAAGTGCTAATCCACTAATAAATTTTAAAATTAGCAAAAGCCCTAAAAGCTAGCCTGGCCCTTGCCTTCCTACGCAGCTCCGCAAAGTGAAGGACAAGGGTCTGGTTTTTACCAGGCTACCTAAAAGCACTAATCAGGAAATTAGTTCCCTTTATTAGTGATTTATGGGAACTGTGCCCACCACTGGTCTTTAGTGTTAAATTTTATTTATTTATTTTTTTATTAAAACCTTCATTGTGCTCTTTGTTCCTTCATACAAACTTTAAAATAAGTCAGAGACAATGAAAGGTTCAGTGTCTGACCCAAGTGCAGCTTCAACACTTAAACAGATGCTGATCAAACTGTGATGATGGCACAAGCATATTTTCTGTTTAAATCCAAAACATAAATTTGCATTATCTTTAGTCCCTTACAAATCCTYAAAATATATTTTTCCGCTCATCTTTTTCCCTCATTTATAAACTATTCTCAGAACTGACACTAATGTCACCGATGGCTTTTTTTTCCTGCATAATAAAACTCTGACCACCTTTCACATCCATGGGYGTTTTATTGGTTCATCCTAATTTGGCCAAAACTTAAGCTTGTAACTGCAATGGTACCAAACCGGTTGTTATTGAGACCAGTTTTCCTTCTTAAACCCAGAGCTGATACGAATAGCTTTTTACTTTACAGGAATCAAATGTATTCACTAGTGAGAAACTGATCATAGAGGCTGCAAAAAAAATGTAATTAACCAGTTTTTTTTCATATAATTACCTTTACCAGAACGCTAAAATGAAAAGATTTGAACTTTTGCTTGTTTCTGAGAATGTAATATTTCAAAGCTTCACGAGCTATTCAAATACGCTTTCATTCCTCTTGCAGATTTTATTTCCTCTTGATAAGGTTAAATAGAAGTGCTGTTTTTGAAAGAATAGATAAGATCAATAGATAAGCGTACAAAAGCTTGAATGTACATAAAGCTGCGACAGTAACAGCCAATCAGAGCTTCTGCATGTTGTGCTAACTTGATCACTGAATGCCTTGTGTGACCATCTGTGAGGCTGAACTCTCAGCTCTCAGGAGAATTACATAACTACTGGTGTTTCTGAGTAACGGGTGACGAACGGGAGGAGATGCTAAAAGGAAACCTCTCATTGACTGCAATATAACCAGCATTTTTAAAAGTAAACTACCAGTTTTTGTGTACTGAAAATCACCCCGATACGTGACAAATAAGGTGCTTTAACCCCGACTCCAGGTATGTTATTATTTTTAAGTACTTGTGATGCGACTGAATCTTGTCGCAGTTACACGCCACAAAAATGAACAAAGCAAAAGCAACAGGAGCTTAAAGAACAAAAGGACTGCCTGTAAAGAAAGATGTCCCTGCAGAATTTCAAAAGCACCAATGCTCTGTTCTTTCAGACAGTGATGTGCCTCTCCGCCTTTGAAACGTCGCAGAAATAAAGCAGCAGAACGGAAGCTCGACTCTCCTCACAGAGACATCTGTTGATTACAGATACAAAAAGGAAGAGCGGTGAACTCTGCATACAAAACCTGAATTCAAGGGTTTTGGGTGCATACGAGTCCTTCAAAACTACAAAGTCTGCCTGGTTCTGTGGAGGGGAAAAAAGTTATAGGTGTGTGAACAGGAATGGGGAGGTGGGGGCCATCACTGTGGCGGGGCTAAGTGAAACAAGTGTGATGGATGTGAAGGAGGGCCGGAGCAAAGAAGCCTTTGAGGATGAGGAAATATGAAGCTGACAGATGTCCTGAGCTGCAGGAGGACAGCTGTCTGCTCTCAAACATATGCATGTGTGGGAGGGAGAGAAACATAAAAAAAATAAGCACATTATCCTCACTTTGAGTCTCTCAGATACACCTTCAATGATGCTGATGGAGAACTCTGCGATTTTGGGGGATCGTAGKTTTCCCTTCTTGTTCTCGCCATCGTAATCTGCCTTGGTCTTCACCACCACCTGGTAGGAAATATAAACACGTGCACTAATGAGAATGGGTTGCCATTAAATCTTCAGAACAATTACAAAAAAATGTACATTTTATTATTAATCAGTTAATTATGGATACAGACCAAAAAAACAAGAATATTACAAGTCTTTACCTTATCAGGTGGTGGAAACTGCAGCTGACTGGCATCTAGAGGTGTAATGAGAGGGATGGTGTCAAAGCCGTCCTCAGAAACCACCTTCCCGTTGGTTTTCTCCGTGAAATTATTCCCCAATTTAACCATTTTTCCCCCTGCACGGAAAAACAAGCTCCCATTATTCATTAATTTAATAAAAATATATAATATTTGGGGACATATTCGTACGCAAATGGAAGCAAAACGCGTATTTATTATCAGGCGCTAGGTGGGCCACAAAGGACAGCCTGGAAACAGAAAGAGGCTTCGACATAAAGGGACCTGGGCATCGTTGTTGCTCATTAAAATATACATATATCATATATGGGATTTAAGCACTCACCAACTCAGCCGAGACGCGTTGTAAAGCGGTGTGTTTCCCTCTTTACGCTTCCAGCCGTGTGTTTAAGATGTGACGCAGCCGATTTACGAGGAGCTGCTGTAGAATATGGCCAGCTGGGTTTGTGCTGCCCCCTCCTCCTCTCAGAGAGCTGGATGCTGCTGTCTGGTGATGTAAGGTCCTCATCATCTCTCTCTCTCTCTCTCTCTCTCTCTCTCTCTCTCTCTCTCTCTCTCTCTCTCTCTCTCTCTCTCTCTCT